GTGCTGCGGTTTCTCGGATTCAGAAGAAATTCTTCCCAATCGTTAGAGATGATAGTATATTTTGTCGCGTGACAAAAAAAACGCGAGTCTGGTTTCAATTATTAGGAAGCCCATTTACCGCCTGAATGACTCTCCTCAGTGTGAGAGAGGTCGTTGCTGATTGAAAATAAAGAGATGCTACCAGTGGGAGTATCCTTTGAGATGGGCGATCACGTGATCTTCGAGTTAACTACAACACCATAGTTACTCATAATGATGTCAGAGAAAAGATAGTTTCAAAAAATGTTCTACTAGGAGTGGGCGATGAGATTATCTATGCGGATCGGCCAATTGTGTTATGTTATACAAAAACTGTTATTCCATTCTCAAACTCTAGATATTTTTGTGTAAATCATATAAACCAATAATGAAAATAGGCTGTGAACATGTATTTAATCTTTTATGGCCTGTATAACCCTGTTTTTCTTCTTAAGTGTTACTATATCTGATTTTACCCGGAAAGTATTAAACTCCATGTGAACATTTCACTCCAACTAAATATAGTGAAGAATGTCCACTGATGTAATGCTTTGTCAAACGACTTCCAAATGAATGACTTACTATAGAACAAATCCAATCACATACATACATATATATAAGGATTTTTAAAAATAGATTTCCAATTATATAAATAATATCTCAGAGTCACCAAACAGACAAACAATGTAAAATAATATCCCAGAGTTATCGAATAGACAAACGATGTCAAATAATATTCCAGTTATCGAATAGACAAACGATGTCAAAGAATATCCCAGGTTAATCGAATAGACAAACGATGTCAAACAATATTCCAAAGTTATCGAATAGACAAACGATGTCAAACAATATCCCAGAGTTATCGAATAGACAAACGATGTCAAACAATATCCCAAAGTGATTGAATAGACATACGATATCAAAGAATATCCCAGAGTTATCGAATAGACAAACGATGTCAAACAATATCCCAAAGTGATTGAATAGTCAAACGATGTCAAAGAATATCCCAGAGTCACCAAACAGACAAACGATGTCAAAGAATATCCCAGAGTCATCAAAAAGGCAAACGATGTCAAAGAATATCCCAGAGTCACTAGACTGACAATTTTATGCTCTGGTTGTTAAACGGGCACCTTAATCAGTCAAGAATTTTTACTAAGATGAACTAACTTCCGTTTCGAAATTATTCCAATTTGTTCTATATTTTTAGAAAGATGAGCGTAATGATGTTACCTTCGTAATGGTTGATAGACATATTATGCTGCTGTGGGTAGGAAAGTACTACAAAGGCATTCCAGACTCCTTATATTCTGTATTTGAGATGTAGCATTTTTACTTATACAATCGCATAATTTTTCAATACAAATTTTTAAAACCTATTGTGTGAATAACTGTAAACGCTTTTATTGACTTTGAACAAAGAAACTAGATATATGAGAAAGCTTATATGTAGTCATTTCAAGTATTTCAATAAGAAGCTATAATTTGGAGCTTAATTTATTCTTACTTTCCTTGTGAAGTTTACATTTGTTCTCTGTGCTGCTTACATAAACAAGTAGAACAATAATAATATTTTTAAGAACATTATTTTTCTAAATAAACATGACTTTGCACATGCTATTCTTTTAAATGTCACTTTGACAGATAATTTATTGTTCATGAAATTACATATGCAAACCACTTTGCCTGTCAGAAAGAATGAAAAGTTTTAGGCTTTGCATTAGTTGCATAAGCCTGAAGTATGACTTTCATCTGAATTCTCGCATATTACAGTTTAGGTGCTATGCATCTACTTTATCGTTATTTGTCTAGGAAAACACATTGTTTTGCCATTTTCATGAAATATGTAACTTATATATACGCACACATACATACTGTAAGTTCTAATTGTGAATTACAATAAGAGGCCTAGGCTATAAATTATACTGTTTAACATTAACAATGTTAAGTGTGGTGACAATAAAACAAAACTAATGAATATTGTTTTATTCACAAACCAAGACTCATCATGAAATCTAGAAATGATTCACAAGCTTCACATAAACAGTAGTAATTACATTTTAACCTCGCCTGACAGTTGTTTTTGTTACAAATAGTCTGACTTGAGGTGGCATATCTGTAACTGCTATTTAGGGTTTGCCTTGAAGAACTAAGAGGTTGCATATTTGTTCTTCACTTTCCTATGCAAAAACGAATGTACAGCAGCTGTGTATGTTATATTAAAAGGAGTTTAGAGACTCCTCACGTCGCTACTGTCCACATCACCACATCTATTCGTACTTTATCTGACAATGGCAAATCAGAATAGATCTATTGGGTAGTTTCCATTGCAAAAGTCTTTGTCGTAAGGATTTCACGTCCAAAGCACACCATTCCTCTCTGCTTACGTTGCACAGTGTTTCTATTGTACGAAGACAATAGTTTCCCGGTACCATTCTCAACAGTCTGATCGTACAGTTAGTCATAGGCGCTATGACCACTGACTCGACCATTATGTCTTTCTATAGAATATCATGAATACACGTTTCATTCTCCAGCCTTTTCTTGGTGAAACCATACCATGTTATCCTCGTGTACAGACAGAGATCCTTCTTGATTATGTTGCGTACTGTTGCCTGGAGCACATGGAAAGTTTTTCCTACTGACTTTCATGTTCATAGATCCTTATCTTTACAAGACACCGCATTTGTCTTACCATAACTACGATAAGACTTGTTGTTTGTCTCTTTCTGGAAGGTCTTGGTACTCCAAGTTGATTCATATTATTTTGTTTTCAATTTCTTTATGTACAAGGGACATCTCTATCTTGAAAATTCTAAATTACCGATACGAACACAACTTTAAGAACTGAATGTACGGACATTTTGAGTAAGAAAGGGCTGTTATATATCCTTCCCAAACCTCATCAACATGCGGTACTTATTAGCACTAAAAATATTAAAATTATTTCTAATACATGGCATTCCATCACAACTGAATATCGTCTATGGTCATCATGTTACTTGCTAATTTTGCATATTTAAAATTGTTTTAATAAAATATAGTCAATCTTCTATACTCCATTTCACTTTGGATCTGGGAACACCATGAACTATTACTTTTTGCTATGAAAATCTGTTTATCCAATAATTGTTGTATGCGTTTATTTTGATAAGCTGGTGACTGGAAAACACAATTTCTTAAGTTCCCTGTAAAGATGGATTTCTGAGTATAAACCTGTTAATGAAGAGAATGTTTCTTTGATTTAATCTTACCTTAACATATGGCCAGGTGGTTAAGGCATTCGACTCGCAATCTGAGGGTCGCGGGTTCGAATCCCTTGTCACACCAAACATGCTAGCCCTTTTCAGCCGTGGGGGCGCTGTAATGTGACGGTCAATCCCACTATTC